CAAGTACTGATACCAAATCGAAAATATTGTAGAGATTAATATGTTTAACCAATCCCATGCGCTTTATTTGGACAGCTACCGTGGCCAGCAAGTAAAATCCGAAGTAGATCATAAAAACCAATGCCACCGAGGAAAGAATGTTTGCGTATGGGAGTCTATTGTAAATCTCTTGTATCGGAGCATCGACAATGTAAGATATTGATCTAATTATGAATGAAATTGCAAACAAAATATAAATGGTCACTTGACGAGCAAAATACTTTCTCGCGTTTGTCCATTTAAAATCTGTCACTGCATTCATAGATGGAACACTGTAAAAATCAGGATCCTTTTCGTGGTATATCACGTGTAAAAATGAACTATATTTTTCTTTGTCGGAGATCACGCGCAATCGAGGCCAGAAGAGTATCCTCAAGAATTGTAATGGTTACCGACTTTTATCGTTGTTATAATCAGGTGGACAATAAGGGTGATTTGTAGATTCGGGAAGTCTTTTATCGTTGTTATAATCAAGTGGACAATAAGGGTGATCAATAGATTCGGGAAGAACGGTAAAGTCGGGAAGGGGAACCATGTAGACTTTTCGATCACTAAACTTCATGTCATCTTTTGCGGGGTTATCGGAAACAACTCCTTCCTGTGTTCTGAATTTTTTAAAAAATCTATTATTTTCTTGTATGTAAATAGTTAAGTCCTCCGAAATTATAAATCACCTTCTAAAAATTCCACAGAAAGCCCTAGTAAGACAATTCATGATTTTGGGTTCAGATTTACGCACAAGCCCTGGCCTCACGTTAATGACATGTACAGATTCGGCGTTGTTTCCGGCATTTTGATCCTCATCGCTAATATGAAGGGGTGGCATATATGCCTCAGTGGTTCCAAAACATGGCTTCTTAAATATCTTCAAGACAAGGTCGCCTAAAAAATATTGAAATTAGGTTAATTACAATAGCAACCACATGTAACATTGACCCAATATAATTTACTTACCTAAATTATGCTTATATAAGTATGGAATTGCACTGGTGACAGTAAACATCCATCCTGGATTATTAAAATCACCAGCATTATCTGTATAATATTCTAAAAGGAGCTCTACAATCGCCGCAGAATTGGCACTCTCAATGGCACATTGCAAATCTGTCAAAGTAGATGTATCTTGTTTCAATTTCGGATCGGTTGAATCACCACGAGTTTCTGGAGATAACTTTTGTTTCAATTTCGGATCGATTGAATCGCCATGAGTTTCTGGTGGTAACTTTGTCCATTCGTATAACCTTGGGATATGTAAACAACTATTGCTATTTTTGCCATTAATATTTTCCGATAAAATCATTTGTATTAATGATTCTTGGCGAGCCTGGATAAGATCTTTTATGATGTTGTACCGAATATCGGTCAAACGAAAAAGGCTGTGCATTTTAATGAATCTTCTTATCAGTTGTTGCGTGTGGTCAATTAGATATTCGCATCTGTTTGCATTCTTGTTTCCGATTATACATTCCTTTTTATTAACTAGAAAATGTAAGCTTTGACAAGCGCTTCTTAATGTATTTTCGTTACTTGGCCAATGAATGGTACACGACTCAGAGATGCCGCCCCTCTTCGAAGAGGGAATAGATAACTTCAGCACAAATTCGCAATGACCAATATGAAGCTTCTCAATACGCATTTTTGAGCTTCCGATGTCTTTCTTTGCCCAAATGAATTCAAGAGTTCTTTGAGGTGTACCATTCTTATTTTTGCGTATTTTCCATACTTGAACTGTATTGGGGCCAATTATAAGTTGGGTCTGCTTGGATTTGTCAAGATAAGCAAATAAACGGTTATATTGTTTGTAATGTTGCCAAGGTTCGATGTCATTAATGATCGCTTTCTGTTCTACAGTAGATGTTTCCTTGATTCTTTCTCCGTTAAGCAAAAATACAGGATGAGCGTCCTCGTGAGTTGGAAGCTCAATATTGACTAGATTCTGATATGGTTTTTCATCCAGTATGGCCTTAATGCCTGGAAATTCAAGTAGTGGAAAAATTCCTCCCCAGTTTGTGACTGCAAAAATTTTCCCACGTGAGTTTATGAGTCGATGGGCGGAATCAGCATCCAAAGGGTAATCTTGTGTCTCCGAGTAACTAGCTTGCCGGACGGCCTTCCTTGAAGTGCTGAAGAGATCCCAAACAACAAATACATAATTATTCTCTCTTTTCTCAAATTCACTTTCGTTTTCAAGAATAATTAACAATTTGTTGTCATTTTCAATAAAATCAATTGATATGATTCTATTAAAATATTGTCCATCTAATTCTTTGGTGGCTACCTCTAGCCCATTTTCCATCATATAGATAGTAACAGCGTTTGTTCCACGACAGAAAGCAAACATTAATTCATTTTGAGAGATTGCAAAAATTGGTTTTCCTCTGGGGACGACAGGGTGATAAGATGGCTCACGTCTTTGGAACACCATTTCTAGTTCCCCCGTGATCAAACTATACATCTCCACAGCGTGACAATGATTCTTATAGCCGCCGCAGATCAAAAAACGATTCTTTATGATACTCGTTTTCAATAACGTCAATCTGCTCTCCCATCTCTCCGATAATAAAAGGCTGGATGAAAGTTGTTTGGGTAAAAAGAATTGTTCTATCGAATTGGCTTTTCGTGTGAAAGAAGGATCTTTATATTTGATGCTTGTCTTATATATTCCGGAAGCATTTACTGCGACAATTATCGCTTGACCATATATTTCCATATTACTTTCTAAAAATCTAACTACACCGCCAACATTTTGAAATAAATCGATAATTTCGGGTTTACCAGATTCCGATATGATCCAGGTCATAGGCGCAATGTGTGTTGTTCCTTCCTCCTCATCAGACTGTGATGATTTGGTGTGGTTTTCAGGACATATATCTCGTGAATCAAATCGGGACAAAGCTATCAGGCGACCGTAACCATTTATGAAATTAGAGATAGCTAGAGACCAACAAATTTTTATATTTGAATTTTCAATTTTTTTAATATTGTAGCCGAACTTTGCTGAGTGATGAGTCAATTTGTCGTCATTGTATAGTTCAAACGCACTTTCGTCTATGTAAAAACCGTTAGTTTGTTGTGCGAGTCAAAGACCTTTAAATTTACCTAAATTACCGAATTTCTTACCTGGATTGAAGGTAACAATTTTTTTACCGTCAGGACTGATTGCCACGTGACGCTTGAAAGAATAGAACGAATTGTAATTTCGTCCCAAAGGACTATCAATTGATGGATAATTCGCTCTTGTGTCCATGTGTAAGTAGAAATAACTTTTGACAGTTAAGTTTCTTAATACCAATTATGAAACAATAGAAAAAAAATTAAATATCTAGGAAATATCTGGTCTATGAAGAAGAAAATGAAAACCGGGTTGTTGTCATAGAACGAAAACCAAGCTAAAGATCATTCTTTATATGAGTTTCGTCCCGTTAAAAAACAAAGAATAATCAAACAAGGTAAAAAAAAATTATCGACCAAGGATAATTGTCGTATCGCTTAAAGTCTCGAATATTTCTAGTATGCTAAAGTTTCTATTTGCCGGATAATTTCATGCGTATAGCGGCAATCCCTTTTTTGGTGAATTTCTTTTACATACTGAGTTCTTATTATGGCAACACAAGCAAAAAATTTAGCCCCGCTCTCTAAATTAGGATTAAAAATTATATAATTTTAGTTAAATAAAGAGTTTTTTTTAATTTTATCACCGTAGCACCAATAACTGTTTTTAATCAACAAAATATTGATAAACATATCAATAATAAATATTTATTTATTTTGAGGTGAAAGAACGATCCATACCTGTTTATTTGTTTTTTTTTATATTAAAAAGTGGTGGGCTATTATCAATCTTTTATTGCTGATAACTTGATAAAAGTATAAACTATAATTAGAATGGTATCTGGTTCCTATATTATTTCAATAATCTTATTGGTTGCCTAAATTAAATTCAACCAATCCATTACTATACTGAACTATATAATAAGCTGATTTTATGGAATAATTGATTACCTGATTACATAAAGGTGTTATAGTCACCATATATAGTTTCATATGCCAATCTGATCTCAAAGATAAGCATAAGACAGAGAACTAATAGCAGGAAGATACTTTGTTTAAAACATTAATCCTAATGTGATATGTTATAATTCTTAAGAATATACTTGAGATCTTTAATATTATAAGACAAAAAGGCATTATAATTATAATTATATCAAGACAATTATAATTGAGAAACATTTATTAAAGAATAGAACAGTAACTTTATTATTATTTCATTAATACAAGATTAATTTTCTTCTTTTTTTCTAATTTTCTTTAAGAACTTTAAATATTCTCTTCTATATTTCTTTTTTCTTTTACTTCCTTTATATAAACTATAATTTTATTTTATTTATATAAAATTAATTATATAACAAACAATTCCAATTATAGAAATAATTAATAAGTGACTAATTATTGTAGCATATATCTCTAATTTTCATATTCAAAACTTAAGAATTATTGTGATAAAATATTAATGAATAAATAAAAAAATATGACAAAATTCTTGATTATTTCAAATCCAATATCCAAAATCTTTTTTCAGGTTCTAAGTAAAGTTGTTCAGTGAATAAAAATACTATAGATATATTATTAGCAAATTAATATATTTAATCTAAATTTAGTGTAAAATTTTCTATTTCAAAAAAAAAACTTTCAAGTTTAAACAATTGTTGAATGTATGATTATAAGCTTCCACATGTTATTTTTAAATAGAAAATTTCATTGATATGCCATTCTAATAATCAATTATTATAATTATATTGCTGATACTCAAATATTAACAATGTTTAGTAAGATTTACTATACTTGCTATATAATTTAAAACTTATATATTCTATATTACTTTTATATCTATTATTAACATTCTTTTTATTAGACTTTGGATTTTCAAATTACAAATTTTTTTATACTGTAAATATCTTCAATACAAAACAAAGTTTTTATATAGTTTTTTTTATTGTTATACTTGATTTTTATTTAAAATCTTCATTACCCATTATTTTATTTTTATTAGTATTTATTTATAAAATAACTTTAATTTTAAAAAAGTTCTTGCATTACTGATCTATTATTATAGTTTCATCTATATTCTCCTTATTTATTAAATTAGAATATTCTTTTTATTATCATTAAGCACTATACTTTTTGTACTATTAATGCTTTAAAATATTTTCTATTTTACTTATTTTTCTTTAATCACTTATATTTGCCAAGTATTTATTTCTATATTAATTTTTTTTTTTTTTTATAATGGGTGGCTTACACCTTGTTTATTAGATTTATAGGATGAGTATGTACAAATTCGTTTTATACAAATTTACCCCTCTGTCTATCTAATTAAACTCACTAAGAAACTTGTTCTACCATGCGGCTTATTGCCAAATACTGATATATACTTGGCTAATTTGCCAAGGCTCTACCTGTCCCTAAAAAATTTGTTTTATGAGTGTATATCGTGTTCCAGTTGAGCCAATGTTGAGTGGCATATTCGAGGAGCGAGTTGATCCCTGGGATGTATGTTTTGTTTCCTTTGTGTGTTTTCCTGTTGTTTTTCCATGTTCTTTTGTCTTTTTTGGTTATGCCATTGTTTTTTTCCCATTCTGCGAAGTTGTCGCATCTGGATTTCCATCTTATTTGTAGTTCGTTGAGTAGTCGATTGTGTATAGCTTTTATAGTTTCTTTATGTTTGCCTGGTTGTGTATATTTTTTGATTATATCAGTTAACTCGTTAGTTAAGGCTCCTCTTGTTATGTAGTTCTTAACTTCTTGGGTCCACGTTTGTTGTTGTCTGTTTATTTCGTCATTCATTTTCCATATGGTTTCCTTTTTTTTCCTGCTGCCTACCTCTTCGTTGATTATTTGTTTAAGTTTGGTAAAGATATCCTCTTTGTGTTGAGTACAAGTCATTATATGTGTGTTGGTTTCGGTCTGATTGCAGTATATGCATTGGTCATCTGTATATGTGCTTGCTGATCTCTCGTGTAGGTTGTTTTTGAATAGAAGTTCTAGATTCCATAGTTTGAATCTAAACGATCTGGTGTTGTGATCGTTTGCATTTGTTGCTTCTGTTATGATTTTTGATAGGTGTTTGTTGATCATTGATTCTTCCCACGTGATATTGTTTTTTGTGTTTTCGTCTGTTGTCGTTAGGTTCCGGTTTAGCATTCTTCAACTGAGGATGTGTTTTATTTTGATCAGATTTTTGGTTGTTTCTGTGATTGTGTTGTCTAGTGTTTGTCTGTTTCATTCTTGTGACCATCTTGTTTTGTTGTTGAGGGTTGGTTTGAAAGTGATCTCAGGTGTTGTGAAGCCTATTGTTGCATCTTTTGCTAGCTGATCTGCTTTATCGTTCTCAGGATCATTGCTGTGCGCTTTTATTTTTTTGAACTGGATATTGAGTTTTTGTTGTTCTATAATGTGTACGATTGTATTTGTTATGTTGTTATTTGCTAGTAATCTTAATGTGTGGTGGTTATTTCGGACTTTGTTGATTGCTTTGAGTGCTGCTTGGCTGTCTGTACAGATTGTTAGTTTGCAGTGTGCTGGTATTGTGAGAAGGAGTGTTGCGATGGCTGCTAACTCTGCTCTGGTGGATGATGGGAATTTACTGATTGTGCCCTTGAACAGCATGTTGGGTATTTGTGGTATGTGCCAACCGAAACCCATTTTGTAATCTGTGTCCATGGATCCATCTGTGTACACTGTTACTGTTTTAACTGTGTTCAATTTATGTCTTATTTCTGCTAGTTCATTGAGTTTTGATTCTGATGTGTCTATGTATTTGCTGATTATATCTTTGTGTAATTTGATTTGGTTGTTTACTAACTTTGGTTGTGGAGGTAGGTTTGTTGATTGGAATTTGTCTGCCCTTATGTTGTTGATGCTTGTGGGTGTGATTCTGCTTCGGTGGCAGAGTGTTTTATTTGATGTGTCTCTTGAACTTGTTTTGCTTTTGTGTACTGGTATGTTGATGAGACTGTTTTTGTTTTTGTTGAAGATACATTCTCCTGGCTTTCCGGTCGTGTTGATTGGGCATCCTTTGCATTCTTGTAGGGGTGAGTGGTCATTGATTCTAATGTAGTGTTGTAATTTTACTGAGTTGTTCTTGATTGCTTTTTTCCTTCCTATAATGCTTCCGATTGTGGATGATGTTGCTATCCATTTGATTTCTTTATTGGGAAGCTCAATTGCAAGTTTGTGGTCGATTTTTTTATGGTTTCCCTTTTGCTGTCTTTCTTGAATTGTTGTTAATATATTTTGATTTCCTTGGATTTCTCGGAACCAATTAGGTTTCCTGCCATTTGGTTTTTTGTTAGGGTGTGTTATTTCTACCCATGCTAGCATTCGTGATCCTGTGTAATTTGTGAGCTGATTTAGAAACATTATTTGGTTTCTGGCGAGTTGTTTTCTGTGTTTATTATACCAAGTTGGATCAGTAAGCTCTTCTATAGTTATGTCTATTTCTTTTATGGTTGTTATTGTGTTAGTTGTTCCTGTGAAGCCACGTTGTCTTAGGAGGAATATTGTGTCATGTGTAAAATCATGTCCTTGTGTGAGGAAGGCATCTTTGAGGTGTCCGCTAGTAACTGATTTTGTTGACCACCATCTGTTTTGTAGTTCCTGTAATCGTATGCTGGTGATTTTGCCCATGATATCCTGTTTGTTGATTTTCTTTTGCCAATTATTAGCTTGCATGATGAGTTGCCTGTCCCAGATGTGGAAGAAACCGTATTCTAGTGGATTGAAAAGGATCGAGTTGGGTGCTGTTATTGCTATGTTGAGTTTGTGTTTGTACGTTTTGTTGAGTATTCTCATTATTCTATTGCTTTGTTGTTCTGTGATAATAAGGTCGGAAAGTAGGTATGTGATTGATGGTGTCCAGACTTGGTTGTGGAGGTATCTGATTTGTTTGTCTGTTGTGGTTTTCCATCTGATTGCTTTTGTGAAGTTTATTGTTTTTTCTTGGATGAGTTGTTGTTGAAATGTTTTTGTGCCTTTACCTTCTAGATATATTCCTAGAA